TTAAAAAGTTTTTGGCCCAATATCCGAACACAAGTATGCAAATAAAATAAAATTTCCTAACGCTTTTATAAGAACTGTAATTCATTTATAAACTCTTTTTTATAAATTATATATTTAAAAATGTAACTTTTTTATAATAACAACAAATATTTTTTTGTTTTATACCAGATTTTATATTAAGTAGTTTTGAAATTTATTTTTTTTTCTCGTTTTTTTAAATTTCTTTTCTTTTAATAATCTTTTTTTTTCTGGNTGTTTTTCTTCTTTTTTTCAGTAATTAGTTTTTTTGCAAATTGTTCTTCAGCTTTTTTTTGTTGTGCAGCTTTTCTTTTCTCTTGTCTATTCACTTTTTCTGATTCCTTTTTTGCTTTTTCTTCTTCTTTTTTGAAATGATAAGCCTGTCACTCATCTGATATAGCTACAGTAGGTATTTTTTCAGTTTTCTTTTTTTTTCATATTTTTAGATATTTTTTCTGGCCATAATAAAATTCTTGTAAATGGTGAAGAAACTCTTTCTTTCAAATAAATATTCTTTAGATCATGAAGATCGGAAGGATAACCACAAAGAAATCAAAAGAAAATGTTTGTTTTTTACGATATTATCATATAAAGTAATTTACTTACCTTTGTTCATTGTAGAATTGCTATTCTGCAAATTAATGTTATTTTCATTATTTTCAATTATATTAGAGTCATTTATTTGATTTTGTGTATCATAATTTTGAAAATCTAAAAATAAAAAATGCTATTAAAAATGAGGTTTTAAAAATATGGAAATAAAATATGGAAATAAAAATTTATGACATAAGCAAATATATCTTTAAGATTTAGCAAATTATTATTGCTTGACTGCTGTGTTTCAATATGTTCTGCTAACTCTTCTAATGATTTATTGATAATATCAAAATTAAAATTTAAGTCTACATTATTTATATTTGTTAAATCAATAATTTCACAATCTATACTCTCATTATACAGTGTTTCTGAATTTTCTATCATTTCAATTAGAATATTGATATCGTGATTATCATTTTCTATATTGTCTATATTTAGAATTAAATTAGTTTCTTGATTATTAGCTTCAATTCCTACATTTATAAAAAACATTTAAAAAGTAATTACAAAACTTTTATTATGTACAATTAGTTACTTATAATTAGTTAGTTAGTACATATAATTNTATAATATCATGTAAAATAATGTAAAAAAATATAAAAACTTTAGATATCTAATCTAATATATAAGGTCTTACGAGCCGTTTCCAAATTGTTGAGCGGAAACTGTACGTGTATGTATACGAGGTGTGGCAATTAAATAACCGGACTGGTGCTAAAAAACATTTTATTTATTATTATTTACATTATACAAATTTTCTTCTTCTATATATTCTCCTTGGCGATCCCTACACCGCTCCATACGTATTTTCCATTTTTGGAAGCAGTGCTGGAAGTCCGCTTCCGTTAGGCTGTTGAGTACCTCCGTCGCTTTCGCTTTTACTGTCTCTACACTCTGAAATCTTGTCCCCTTTAGCTCTGATTTTACTTTTTGGAAATAAAAAGTAGTCACAGGGGGCCAGGTCGGGCGAGTAGGGTGGGTGGTCCAACACTGTGATTTTGTGTTTCGCGAAAAACGCTTTCACAGACAACGCGGAATGTGATGGTGCTTTGTCTTGGTGGAGCATCCAAGAATTGTTCTTCCACAGTTCGGGCCTTCGCCTTTTCACTCTTTCACGAAGGGTGGACAGAATCTCAATGTAATAATGTTGATTAACAGTCTGACCTTCGGGGACCCAGTGAATGTAAACAACTCCTCGAATATAAAAAAAAAACAACCATCATGGTCTTAAATTTTGATTTTGACATTTTGGCTTTTTTTTGACGCGGTGAACTCGGACTCTTCCAATGCATNGACTGACGCTTTGTTTCTGGGTCATAGGTAAAAAACCACGACTTGTCGCAAGTAATCACTCTGTCTAACAAACCTGGATCAGCGCTAATGTTGTTCAAAAGGTCACCACAAATGTTCATTCTCAATTCCTTTTGTTCTGCAGTGAGAAGTCTTGGCACCATTTTCGCGCAAACTTTTCTCATGTTCAATGATTCATGCAAAATCTGACGGATACTTTCTCTATTAATTCCTGAGACTTCAGCAAGAGCCCGGATACTCAGACGACGATTTTCACGGATCAATTTACCAATTTTCTCGATGTTGTCTTCTGTTTTTGATGTTAAAGGCCGTCCAGAGCGTGGATCGTCTTCAGTCATTTCACGACCTTCTTTAAACCTTTTACACCATTCAAAAACTTGTGTGCGCGATAAACACTCACTTCCGTACACTTCCTTTAACATAGCATGGGCTTCTGTTGCGGTTTTTCCGAGTTTCACAAGAAACTTAAGATTAACTCTTTGCTCCATTCGACGGCAAGTTAAAACAAGAACTTACTCGGGCGATAATTATGGCGAGACTGAGTACCGCACAAACGCGCGAATCGAGATTATGTTAGTGAAGGTATGAACAAGCACAGACATGTGCAGATCTGCTGCGGCCGGCTCGCCGTTTGCCAGTAGCAGCACCAATCCGGTTATTTTATTGCCACACCTTGTATATGTATATATGCATACACATGTAACAAGTTCAACTTGTAAATTTTTTTACAAGTTAGTATTTTTTGAATTGAAAACTCAATTCTTAAATTCATACAGGATGCTGGATTTGCATCTCACATATGACAGACCCCGGATACCCCCTAACTAATTTTTAAAATATTGCGAAAAAAACTCCTCGGCCAGAAGTCGAACCTGGAATCTCCGGCTTTCCGTGCCATCGCTTTTCCTGTTAGGCCACCGAGGCACTTGGAGTTATTCTCGCAATATTCATACATATATCGAAGACGGTCTGATGCTGTTGATAACGCTTATTTTCGGCCAGCGTAACTCAAACAATTTTTAAAGCTCGTTGAAAGTTAAACCAATAAGTAAGGCCTTACAAGCCGTTTCCAAGTTGTTGAGCGGAAACTGTACGTGTATATATATATATGTATATATGTATATATATATTTTTCACAATATTTTAAAAATTAGGGGGGTATCCGGGGTCTGTCATATGTGAGATGCAAATCCAGCATCCCGTATAAATTTAAGAATTGAGTTTTCAATTAAAAAAATATTCACTTGTAAAAAAATTTACAAGGTGAACTTGTTACACGTGTATGCATATATACATATATATATATATATATATATATATATACACGTACAGTTTCCGCTCAACAACTTGGAAACGGCTCGTAAAGCCTTATATATTGATTTAACTTTCAGCTTTAAAAATCGTTAGATATCTAATGTACCACATAATCCTTTTATCATTTTCTAATACTCATATAATCTTTCATTTTTTATATCAATAAATACACTTGGAGAGCCATCGATCTCTGCATCTTTAAATTTATGTAACAAAGTATTGCTAATGTAGTTTTCAAAAAATTTTAAGTGTTTCTTGCAATCTTCTTTATAACTGTTTGATTCATGAATGGAACTATCACTTTGTTGTTCAAGCATCTGTTCTTGTTTTTTATTTTTATNTAGAATGTTATAATTTATAGCCTCTTCTGAAAAGGGCCACAAACCGCAAGTCTTAAATCCATTTTGAACTATTTCAGCTAGATTTATAGAATCCACTGCTTGTTTTAATAATGGAGCAAACTTGTCTTTTTGCACACGCTGAGGAGCATTATCTACTGTCTTTTTCCAGGATTGTTGTAGAGGATGAAATACTGAGACATCTAAAGGTTGAAGTATATAAGTCGCATTTGGATACAATGCTACAAGTTCAATTCCATTTTGACGACAAAAGACACTTAATGGCATAGTTAAATNAGATGAGTGACCATTTACATATAAGACTATAGGCATTGTAATCTTTTTAGCTACTAGCCATGGATAAAACACATTTGTTATATACTCGTAAAATGATTCGGCTGTTATCCATCCTTTTTCTGTTGAACTAACACTGCATCCAGAAGGGATTTTATGTATAATACTATATGGCATTTGCTTGTACCAATATAAAATCATTGGTGGAGCCATTTCTCCTTTAGCATTTACCATAAAAAGCGCTGTTAAATTTTCTTTTTCGTCTCCGTCAATAACTTTATAAACTGATTTTGATCCTCTTTTTGCAATAACTTGATAAGCTTTGGGGCAAAAAAAATGCACTCTGATCACAGTTAAATATCCTGGATAAATCAATTTCTACAAGATTTCTTTTTTGTAAATGTTCATGCACTTCAGCGAACCAATTTCTTAAACCATTCTCTGTAGCTGAAGCACGTGTATGTGTCAAATTTTGAGCTACTTTGATGGATAATTCAGGATGCCGTCTACAAAAACCTTCGTACCAATGTCTACCAGGCCTGTTATTTGTGAAAGGCGTTTTTCTTCCTAATTCAGTTATTAATGAACGCACAGTATCGAGAAGGTAATTTTTACTAACTGGAAAACCTCTATCGCAGCAGTAAATTATCCATTCTGTTATTTGTGATTCTTCTTCTTTCGTTAAAATAGTTATGGGCTTTTAGAACACTCGACAGAATAGATATTTTTTGCTTTACAATAAAGTGTGCTTTTCGGTATTTTATACATTTCTGTTGTCTCTTTTAATGACATACCCTTGTTTATATGCTTTAGAGCAGCATTTATTTCTTAAGTGTATTTTTTTTGTACTACTTTTGGCATATGTATTATTCTAAAGAACAAAATATGTACTTATTTAGTGTCAATGCAGATTGTAAGGTTATGCATGGCATTCTTGTCAATTAAAACATCTTTTCAAACTAGTACAAGATATATTTGAAGATATTGAACTATAATACTATTAAATAACATTATTTATAAAAATACTTACAAAATAAGTCTTAAAAGCAATTCAGAATAATCCAATTTAGCTACTAGTACTTTCTAATAATGTGTCGTTCAAGCAAGTTGTACCGATAACTAAGCACATGTCAGTTACTAGGCAGATACGTATATTACTGTACCAGTAACTAAATTTAAAAAAGTTATTAAAAACATATTGTTTATATCAATTAAAAGCATTTTTGTAATTGTTTTACATGTTCTTTGACTTAAATAATATTACTAAAACTTTGTTTAAAAAGTAAAAACATGAAATAAAATAGAAATTATTTTAATAAGCTAGATAAATTTTCTTAAGAAAATGTTAAAACCATTCATAAAATATGTTCTTTGCCTAATTATATAACAATTTATTTTTTTTCTGGACGTTAATTTTTCTAATATTTAACATATTTTACTATATAAATATTTTTAAATTAAGAATTTCCCAATAAAATTTTGATATTGTACTAAAAATTTATTTTAAACTTATAATAATAAATTTTCATGTCATTGTCCGGATACTGGGACATGTCCGGCAATCGGTACTTTTATCTTATATGTTTTTTTTTTTAAGTGTGTTCCTAGTACCTCAATTTTCTTTAAGAAAATTAATGAGACGGTATGTTACAATAATACGCGATGCAAACATGTAAAGAATCTTGATGTGTACATGCATATGCACTAAAAATACATGGTTATTACTTTTTGTCGGTTAAATAAATTTACTTCAAGAAGCACGGTAGTGGTAACAAAGTGGCGCACGAACTGCGCGAGGCGCACTGTGCCTATTAGACGCGAAAATCACTTTCCGAAAGAAATTGTGAAACATCACATATTCATATCTCAATAACGAATGAACCGATTGAGTTCTTTTTAGTCTCAATCAATTCGGATTACAAAATTAAAAAACAAAGTGTTTATGTGTTTTTTTGTCTGTGTCTTCTGTTCAAAGATAATAAAAATGTTCTTCCAAATATATGGAATTTTATCATGTTCATGACCTCATCTCCAATGTCACAAAAATGTGTGCATGTACCTAATGCTTCCAAGAGATGGCGGTATAAAAGCGTTAAAAGAAAAAGAAGAAAAGTGTAATATGTGATGAAAAAGAAACAGAGAGATAAAAATAACACAAGAGAGAGTGCGAGAGAGTAAAACTTAGTGCACAAGAGAGTGAGAGACAGTAAGAAAAAGTGAGAGAGAGTGCGAGAGAGTGAGAGAAANTGCGAGAAAGAGTGACAGAGAATGCATGAGAGTGCGAGAAAGTGCGAGAGAGAGTGCGAGAGAATGCAAGAGAGAGTGAGAGAGAGTGCGAGAGAAAGTGAGAGAGAGTGAGAGATAGTGAGAGAGCGTGGGAAAGAGTGCAAGAGAGTGTGAGAAAAAGTGAAAGACAGTGCGATAGAGTGCGAGAAAAAGTGAAAAGAGAGTGAAAAAGAGTGATAGAGAGTATGAGAGAGAGTGAGAGAGACTGAAAGAGATTGATTGATTGATTGATCTTTATTTAGCTTTCTCAGCTATTTCAAAAACAAATTTAACAGACATTTGATACAACATATGTTCTCAACGCTCTTTTATATAATTCGATTCTTTCGCTACTTTTTATTCTGCTGGTAAGACGTTATATATTTTTATTCCTTTATAAAACATGCTTTTTTGTGCGCTCTTAGTTTTTGTAAATTTTATCTTTATATCTCCAACCTGTCTCGTTTCTCTTTAGTTTTCTACTATTTCTAACCTATCTCTTAACGGTAACATATTTTATAAAATCTTAAAAATAAATATACATACATTATAATATAATCTTTGTTTTATAGACATAAACTGTAGTGTTTCCCGCATATATCCTACTTTGGTATACCTATCACACTGCAATATTACTCTCATAGCCCGATTTTGTGCTTTCTGCAACTGACGTAATTGTGTTTCGCCCATATCTATTAATAGCGTCGAACATTATTCAAAGTGTGGCGCTATACTTGAACATTATTCAAAGTGTGGCGCTATACTTGTCTTGTACAGGGTGTTTCAATAAGGGCGACGATTTTTAAATGTATATAAAACAAGTTGTGTGTGAGATATCCACTCAATTTTTTTTTATTTGAAAGAATATTTTATGGCAATTAAGTATGAAATATAATGTCGCTTAAATGTCCGCCGCGGTTTCGCTTCATGACACGTATTCGGGCGGTTCAATTTTCCATGACTTTTTCGCATAAATCTGGCTGAATTTTCTGGATGGCGTTTGCTATGTTGACTTTGAGAGCATCAACTGTTTGCGGTTTATTCGCATAGACCTGCGATTTGAGATAGCCCCAAAGGAAGAAGTCTAAAGGCGTTAAATCGCACGATCTCGGTGGTCAGTTCACGTCGCCGCCGCGCGAGATAACCATGCCCTGAAATCGNTCGTGCAAAATGTCCATCGTGGCATGCGCTGTGTGGCACGTAGCACCATCCTGTTGGAACCACATGTCATCGGTATCTATATCATCCAATTTAGATCACAAGAAGTTCCTTATTATCGATCTGTAGCGCTCGCCGTTGACGGTTATGGCAACGCCCGCTTCGTTTTGGAAAAAGAACGGACCGATGATTCCGCCAGACCAAAATCCGCACCGAACAGTGACTTTCTCGGGATGCATTTGGAGCTGGTGTATCTTGCATGGATTGGTATCGCTCTAAATTCGACAATTTTGCTTGTTCACATATCCATTCATCCAAAAATGGGCCTCATCGCTAAAAATGATTTGTTTGACGAAATTTGGGTTAACTTCCAACTGCTCCAGAGCCCAATCAGCAAACACACGGCGTTGGCTATGGTTGTTTACCTTAAGTTCCTGGGTCAGTTAAATTTTATAGGGGTGCAGACCCAAGTCCCGACGCAAAATTCGCCAAGTTGAAGTCGCAGAAAGGCCAAGTTCTTGTTAACGATAAGAAATTGACTGCCTCGGGTTTTCCTGTACACTATCACGCAGCGATGTTTTCAGCAGACCTTGCGTTTTGGTGGTTACTGGTGTTGGCTGATTATTTATCGAACCGGTTGACTCGAACTTGGCCACCAAACGTCGAATAATCGACTCGGAAGGACGGTTGTGGCGAGGATAAAAATCACGTAATGCGCGGAACGTTTCTCGAACAGAGCACTGATTTTGATAATAAAATTTTATGATTTGCATACGTTGCTCAACACTAGAACCTTCCATGGTGATTTGCCATACAATACTAAACAATTCACAACAAATTTGACAGATGTTACTTTAACAACATAGCTACTATGATCTACCAAAGTTCTGCGTCTCTATTGAAAGACCCTGTATATAATACACCTAGCGTACGCCAATACATAATGATCTATTCTATGTAAAAAACTTGTTTTTTGCCTATTTTTTTAACATATAATTGCAATGAGTTTTAAACCGCAATTTATCATCAATAATTATATCTAGATATTTTATTGATTCTACACGCTCTATCTCAATATCATTCAAACATTTTAGTGTAATATTACCCTTTAATTCTTTTCTTATACTTCTAATTACCATGTGTAACGTCTAATTACCACTATGTTTTACTCGCGTTTATTTTTAACTTATTTACAATCATCCATTGCTCGACTATATTAAATACTGTATTCATTTTCCTCTCTAGATTCGCGCTACTTTCTCCAGTTACATATATTAGTGTGTCATCAGAAAACATTTTTATATTGCATCCTTTGGGACATATCTTAATTATATCGTTTATGTACACTATAAACAACAAAGGTCCTAGTACCGATCATTGAGGTACTCCATATTCTGTTGTCAATAATTTAAACCATCTATGATTAAACCGTACCTGTTGTTTTCTATTACTTAGATATGACTTGAGCTATTCCAAGACTACACTTCTAATTCCGTATTGATACAGTTTTCCTAATAATCTTTTCCTGTCTATTGTTTTGAACGCTCTTTTAAGATCCATGAAAATTACTCTGACTAATTTTCCTTTACTTATTATTACTAGATTCCACTCATCAAAGACAGTTTGAATTGCTGTTTCACACGAATAATGTTTTTTAAATCCCGATGTTCTGTTATAATAGCATTAGTTTCTAAGTACATTTTAAGCTGTTTTTTCACCACTAACTCTAACACTTTCTCAAACATTGGTAACATATTAATAATCTTGTACTCACTTGCTTTTTTCGCTTTTTCTATCTTCGGAATCGGTACTATTGTGGAGGTTTTCCAACTTTCCGGACAGCAATCATCTCTCAATGATCTGTACCTTTTTTTTTTAGTTCTAACTCTAAAACAACTTTCTCTGACATTAATCGCCTCAAAATTTTTCATAACTTTTTTGCTCTCGATAATATAAATAATTTTCTTACTTGTATCTTTAAACTCACTCTTACTTATAGAGCGTACTGTACTATTAATACTTTTTATATAATATAAATTAAATTTATAAGCTATATTGCACTTTTCAGTATCACCTAAAATTTTAAAATCTATACTTTTTACTACCTTTGTACCCACTGGCTCGCCTCTAATTATTTCTTCCAATGCTTTCCACATTGTCGTGGGATCATCCTTATTAGAATCTATTATATTTTTATAATATTTTTTCTTTTTTTTTCTTTGTAATTTTACTATTGTATTTTTTCCAATTTCATACTGCATCCAAGTTTGCTCAGTATTGTCATATGCTTTCCTGTATTTCTTTTTTTTTTTTACGTAGAGGAAATGCGTTTACGCACACCCTGACCCAGACTAGGTGTGGGCCAGGGTAGTGTGGGACTCAACCTGCCAGAGCGCGCCCCGGCGGGGAATACTCACTAAAACCCTTGCGGTGTTCACCTTCCGCCCTTTTAGGGCTGCCCCGGTACTTCTTTTTCTGATCGACCCAGAGGCAGTCCGGTAGGCATGGGCTTGCGCCCTATTAATGGTAAGAAGAAGCTATTAATACTTCCTCCCCCCGCGACAAAGTGCTTTCCTGTATGTTTTATCTCTTTTATCAGCTGCTTTTCTTATTGCGTCTAAGAACTTTTTATTGCGTCACTTTTTCCCTTTCTATACTTTCGGAATTCTAAATTTTTTCAACGGCGCTACTATATTTAACGCATCTACTATACTGTTGTTGTGCGGCAGTTTTAAAGTAAAAGTAAAGTAAAGTGAGGCCATTGAGCAATGTAATGAGACATCACTGTTATTGCTCAATGACCTAGTTAGGTTGCGAGGAAGCAGTTCTAGGAAGAACTGCTAGTTGCCACAAGATGCGACACATCGCCGCATTGTCCAAAGTGCAACGCAGCATGTGTTGACACCGGCACCGATAACTAGCACGGCCGTTGCTAGAACCGGTGGGCCTGCTGAATCGGCGCAATCGATCTACTATAAATCGATCGCGTGGATGAAGCAGGGCAGAGATCGTGATTGAACTGCTAGCTCACTGTGTGTGGCTCCGCAAGCCGGAGAGTTTACCACAGTGAGGAACATCCATGTAAGGAACGTAAGGAATATTGTAACCAAAATAATAAAGATAATAATATAAGTTCAAACATAGAACTTAATCTTTTACCACCCAACCTTCTCGACATCCAACAAATTTTGGTGGCAGCGGTGAGATCTCTCATTCCGCGTGTCAAGGACGGGACTCTGCAGGAGATTCCGGTTAGATCAAGGAAACGGACATTGGATGAGAAAGAAAAAAAAGGAGCGAGAACGATTGAGTTCTAGTGTTTAAAAAAGGGTATATTTAAAAGAAAAAAAAATTATAAAAACATATATGTGTACAAAAAATATATATGTGCTGAAATCCCGTTCCGTTAAATACTGCTCCTGAAACAAAAAAAAAAAAAAAACAGTCATTAAAAGAGTGTCTTGCGAACTACGGGTTCAAAAGAAGAAGAAAAACACTGCGAGCTCACAGTCTCAAGTTACACGGCAACACTGACCTAACGCAAGCGACGGGCAGTGACACAAGGCGGAGATAAGGAAGCGGCCAGACTGCAGTAGCAGAACAAAAAACAAAATCTACCGCCGGAAAACTCCGAAAGCAGCAAGCGACAAGCAGACAAGCAGCTGTGACGGAAGGGCCAGGAAGGGCACCAAGGAACCAGCAAAGGACAGCCGAAAAAAACAACAAAGGTGACAAGGCAGTCAACGCAAGCGAGGCAGCAGTAGCGGCGAAGCAGCGGTAGCAGCAGAGCAGAGAAGCAGCGAAACAACGAACCAGCAAAACGGCGAGGCAGCGGCAGCAGCGGTGCGAGGAAAGCTGAGTCAGCAACACTACACAGATACAACTCTTGTAAGCGGAATTAGGTCAACTACTGTAAGTCAAATAAATATTATGTAAAAGCGAGCAAAACATATGTTCGGTAACTGGCGTTTGCAACAACGCGGCGTACAATCTGTGCGAGTAGCGCGGTCATTACAAAGTCTCTTACCGGTACGGAAACCGAGAACCGCACCGGCGGCGCTTTATCAAGAAGCAGAAAGAAAAAAGTCACATGCAAAAGAAAAAATACAAATGGAAAATTAAGAAAAGATAGAAAGTAAGTCGTCAAATGAGGTTTAAAGTTACATTCATGTACTGTAGAGAAAAAATAAAAATATATACACAAGTCAATTATTGAATCGTTTATATTGGATATGTTGGATAATTACCACATGTATCAGGAAGGGTCGAAAGGCCAATATACGACATTGTACTTTGATCGATTTGTTCGCCTGACATTAAACTCATTTCATCTACTGCAAGCATGCAATCTTTTTCTCTATCATCTGTACTTTGTGATACTCGTTGTTTTAATATGTCAAATATTTGATCGGAAATTCCAGGTTTAAAATCAAAATCCTGTAATCTTCTTCTAAGTGTACGTCCTGATGGTAATGGAATGCCTTGACTTATCAATTTCTGATAACCGCTATTACCACACAATAGTCTTAATCGCAAAGCCTTTTTAATAGTATTGTTGGGCCATTCGTGACCTCGTACATATCGCAAATTGAGAGCTTTTATTTGATCTGTATTTAGTATTTTACTAAAGTTTTTGCTTTGTTTCAGAATTTCATTTTCTACAGCTAAGTTTCTTTTTTCACATATTAGCCTTTTTACACGTTTTTGCAGAATCTTGTTCGACTTATCTAATTTATTAATACTAACATTAGCTTTCTCTAGTTTTATTTTTGTTTCTTCAGTTTTTTTTAAAACTTTTTCTATGTCAACTGCTTCAAAGGGTAAAGACACAGATATGGCTGCTTCTGAAATAGAGTTTTCTACTTTCTCTTTCACATCTTTATGTATTTCTTCATGTATTCCGTCTACATTTTGGATACATGGTTCATTAATATCTTCTATTTCCTTCAATATCATATTATGTGATAGATTTTCATGATTTGTTATTCTTATGTTATTTTCAGTCTGTAATAGATAGCTATATATTAATACTTGTACATTTAATAACTCGTTTTAAAAAAATACATACATTTTAATAAAGACAATTTTAACACGTCTTTTAATAAAAACAATCTAAACTTATGTTCTAATCTCTACTTACTTTATGTTTAACAATGGTAGGAACTGCTGTACTTCTTAGTTTTTTTTTACCATCAATTCGTGGTTTTTCCCACATTTCAATCGCAAAATGTGTCTGTTGTATATTAATATTATTAATTAACATTTAAAACAATATTTATACACAACTAGTATATATATATATATATAATATATGTAATACAGTTTATTAATATAATTTATCAAAAAAGTCAAGCTTACCTCACATATAAAATAGACTTTTGTTAAATCCAAATCTATACCAATATTGATCCATTTTTGTCGTTTTTCGACATTCGTTGGCAGACGATGCATAGAATATTTTTTTTCCATGAATTTTGACATTTTGGCACACAGCATAGAGGCATAATTTATTCTGTACTTAAAATTTATGATTACATTTGACANTATTTTTTAGGTTAAAAAAAGAATAATGAATATATTTTTATTTCATAACAAATTTTATAAAGTTTTATATATTACACATTAAATCTTGTTTATTACTTACTCTACGTCTCTAATAATAATAAATAGTGTCCCTATAAAAAGTCACTTTTATAACTTTTGTCTTATTGCATTTACGATGCCACACTTACTTATCCCCACCACATTTAGACGCCATTTTGAGGGAGATGTCCAGACTCTGTATTCCAGGGACACTAGTCAGACACAATATGCCGCGCTGACGTTTGTGTTGCACTCGACACTACATAATGAATAATGTAAATAAGATAATAACATTTTGTATAGATATGAAGGTTTTCGTTACGTAGGTTAAGTATAAAGTGTAGCCACCAAGTGTAACGATTCAATCAAAAAAAGATTATTTAACGTTTAAGTTTCACAATAATCTGTTATTTTTAACAAAGATAACAAATTGTAACAAAGCAAAATTGTAGATGTAAATCTTGCAAATGTTATTAATATGTTAATTGTTTCATTCCAACTTTCAAATATTTTACACACATCTGTAAATAATAAAGAAATCGAATTACATGATACTATAAAGGATATTATACGAAATGCAATGATGACTTATCATTTGCTATGCAGATTGACACTATATTAAACTTTGATAATTATTGGGATGCAAATATATATGATGCAGAATTTGTTGTAGCAGACAAAGTAGAAAAACTTGAAGAAAGTGATGAAGATGAGGAAGAAGGTATTTGTACATCAGAAGGAGAAATTTTTAATAATGACTATAAGAGAAGAGCTGTTGAGTTCTGGAAAAGTGGAATAAAGGAACATTACACTATCAACAGTACAACGTCGGTTTAGGAAGATAACGTCTTTGTCGCAGCTGTATAGATAGGATCAATCTCTATAAAAAGATAATACTCATAGACAAAAACTAGTAGATATTTCTACATATGTTCTGGAAAAGTTTAAAGACGCTAACAACAACAACAAAATTATTCATGATTTAGATCTACGACAATGGGCGCTAGAAACAAACAAACAAAGTAATCTTCCTCAATTTAAAGCAGAAGCAACGTGGATATTAAATTTTAAAAGGACACACGGGATTGTGTCAAGAAAAATGACAAAAATTATAAACCGTTCATTAAAGACAATTCAAGAACAATTACAAATTGCATTCCAAGAATTCATGAGTTCTGTCAAAATCAAACTGAAATCATTTATAGATCTATTTGAAACACAAAATATATATAATACAGACAAAAGTAAGTTCAATTTAGAAATACATTCAGGCAGAACATTGACAATACAAAGTGTTAAAACTGTCGAAACCATAGTTTATTCATAATCAGCAATTACACACAGCTATACAATTTTACCTACAATTTCTGCAAGCAAACAACTACAATCACTTTTTTATTTGGTATTGGAAGAAGCCAGTGGAACTATTGAGCCACGTGTTGACGAGACTTTATTTAGACCTGCAAATATTTTTATCGCAGCATCAAAATCAGAAAAATTAACTACATAACATTTTCAATCTTGGTTTACAATGTATTTTTCCCCGCAAATGGGAGCTTCAGTGTGTTATTAATAGATTCTTGGTGCGGACATTGTCCTGAAAGCTTACAAAAGTTTATGCCATCTAAGGATAAAGATATACGAATTTTAACAATACTAAAACCAAACTACAGGAATGATTCAATCTCTTGATGTTTATGGATTTAGAGTATAGAAAACTTTTGTGAGAACACATTTAGTGATCGCGTTATATTATTATATCAATTTAAATTTGAGAAATAATATTATCAAATTACAATTTTTAACGCATATACAGCGTACTATCTTCTGTACAATTCCATAATCTTTTTAAATAGTTTAAAGCTTGGTTTAAAAGTGGCTACATCAAAGAACAACTACCACAGTTCAAAAATCCAGTAAATTTTTGTTTCTCCGGAAAAAATATACAAGAAATACTACGGTTTTCTATATGTGAAGCACCCGCTATAATACGTTGCTCCTGGTGCAAGAAATATTATTATATACATCATTTTTTTTAGGAATATCATGATTGTAAACACTATGTACAAGTTTTTGTCAATAAAAAAGCAAAGTTTGTAAGTAAACCTCTATACTTATTTTTATTTAAATAAGTATAGAGTTATTTTTATTCAAATAAGTATAGAGTTTATTGCTAATGTTTGTGTAATAATAAATATTTTTATACATTATAAAACATGCTTTGTCAACACATGATGTGATAGTTCTAATGGAAACTATTGTCTAACTATAGAGTTACTGCATGGTATCCGCCACAATTTAAGGAATGGGAAGACACCTTCAACCAAGCGAAATAACTGACTTCTATTACAAATTACAAATAAAAAACTATAACCAAATATATAAAAATATACTATGTGTATAATACATTATATAAATAGTAATAAATTATATATAATAGCAAATTGAAAGAAGCAATTTTTAAATAAAACTACCCTAAACTTTATCTGTTTAAATTAATAAAGAACAAGAAGAAGATTTCTTCGGGCTCTGAAGTCTTTTAAACTAATAAATGAAATTTTTATTAATTTAAAATTTACGCTGGTGGAAGATGGCGTTATTATCAGATCAACATTCGATAGATGTGCTAAGTATTGCGAGACAAACTCCAAGTGCCTCGGTAGCCTAACAGGGAAGGCGACGGCCCGGAAAGCCGGAGATTCCAGGTTCGACTCCTGGCTGATGAGTTTTTTTCGCAATATTTTAAAATTAGTTAGGGGGNTATACGGGGTCCTCTATATACATATACGTGGTGCAAATCCCGCATCCTATATGNAGGAAAAAAATTATTTCATCGTATATGTGTATACATATACATATATTGAAGCACATTCTGCATAACATCCTGCAAACGGCTCTTACTACCCGATATTTCATTTATTAGTTTAAAAGACTTCAG